GGCCTATCATTATCTAGCTCTTACTCTTATATTTGGCCCATATCTATTAATCTATACTTTGCCACGTGGCTTGTGGCTTATTGGTACCTTACATCTTCCTTGTCCTGGCGGCAGCTGTAGGCAGTGTCCCCCTGCCTTCCTGTTCCCTCAATTCTCTTCTCTATTAGTCCCACCTATACTTTGTCTGGCTACTGGCCAATCAGTGTTCATTTATACAGAGCATATCCACAGCAAATGTGTGTCTGAGTGTTGTCTATGCCATTGTACTTTATTTTGTAATTTTTAGAAATGTGTGCAGTGTATTACTTTTAGCTTTCACCTAGCCCAGCTTCATTATGATACCCCACCTTGTACTCCATGATAGACTCTAAAAAGAAATTAAGTTTTGTATTGAAGCAGTCATACATCTACCTGTATGGTTTGTTCATTGATAGGTTTTTTTTTCTCTCCACACTAGAGGTTCCATGAAGGCAGAACCTTGTTATTGCTGTTTTCCAGAGAGGCTTTTGGTGTGACACTTAAGCATGTGGATTTTTTTTGTGTGTGTGTTTGTGTTCCTATCCTATCTTTTCTAATTACTAGTATGCAATCTTGGAGACATAATTCAAATATTGCCTTCCTTTATTTTTTTCCATAACTTGAATATCAGTATCAGCACTGTCTTTTGCAAATGCTCCAGAGAGTATTCAAATAACAAATAATAAACATTGAGTTATATATTCACTGTACTTGTCTGTGTAAGAATTACTTTCAAATTTTTGATCATGAGAGTCACAAGTACACTTCCATATCAAAAAGAATATTTATCAAATGAAAGCATGAGTGGCTGAGTGAATGAGCGGAGAGTGAGCCTCAGAGGTCATGTGAGTCTCTAACTGCCAGAACACTCTGGATTTAGACTTTCTTCATTAAATGTAAATGTAACCAGGGGCCAGAGAGATGACTCAGGGGTAAGAGTGGTTGCCACCAAGCTTGAGTTTGTCCTAAATACCTCTTGGTGGAGGAAGAGAACAGATTCCTGCATGTTGTCCTCTGATTTTCACATGTGCCCTGTGGTGAATGCATGCCTGTGTGTATGTTGTAAGCTATACCGCCCACCTGTTTACATATGTACTCTGTGTTATTCATGTAGAGATGAGAATGTCTAATGATGTATGTCTTAGTCAGGGTTTCTGTTGCTGGGATGAAACACCATAACCAAAGCATCTTGGGGAGGAAAGGCTTTATTTGGCTTACTCTTTCACATCGTGGTTTATCATCAAAGGAAGTCAAGACAGAAACTCAGACAGGGCAGGAACCTGGAGGCAGAAGCTGATGCAGAGGCCTTGAAGGGGTGTGCTGCTTACTGACTTGCTCTCCATGGCTTGCTCAACTTGCTTTTTTATAGAACCCAGGACCACCAGCCCAGAGGTGGGCATTCATACAATGGACTAAACACTCTCCCATCAGTCACTAATTAAGAAAATGCCCTACAGGTGTGCCTACAGCCCAATCTTATGGAGGCATCTTCTCACCCAAGGCTCCCTTCTCTCCTCTGACTCTAGCTTGTGTCAAGTCGACATAGAACTAGTCAGCACAGTTGACCTCTTGTCAACTTGGCAGATTACTATTAAGCCACAGTCTTTTCTTTGTTATTCATTCCCAAGATCTCACATTAATACAAAATATAAAATATTTTAAAAATTTAAAAGTCCAACAGTCTTTAAAAATTCCAATACTGAAAAGTTCAAAGTCTTTTCAAAATATCCAAGCTTCCTTTTAAAATCCAAAGTGTTTCTAAAACTGCAAAATCTCTTTAAAAAGTTTCAAGTCTCTCAACTGTGGGTTCTTATAAAATAAAAAGTAAATTAAATACTTTCTTGGTTCATGAGGGAAGAATCAGGGCAGAGTCACAATCGAGGCAAATCAAAACCAAACCCCAACTGTGTAAATGTCACTATGTCCTATGCTTGGGGTCTACTCACCATCTTCAGGGCTCCTTCAAAGGGCTTGGGTCCTTCTCCAGCTCTGCCCTCTGGAGCATGCACAGTTTGTCTTCTAAGCTCGGACAGTCTCCACTCCACTGCTGTTGCTGATCTTGACGGTCTTCCCATGGTACTGGCAATTCTAAAACACTGGGGTCTTTGGTTACACCTGGCTTGCATTTCACCATTAGCCTCTCCTGGGCTCTCTTCATGGTACAAGGCCTCAACTTCCCTGCATCAATTGTCCCGGTAAAGCAAAGGTTTTACTTTAGTGTTTAGTGTTCTCTTGTGAATCACATCTGCTTCTTTAGCTCAAGCTGACCAGACACCACAGATTATTCACATAAATGGCCTGGTAGAGTCTTTGCTTTCTTCTGAAACTTTACAAACCTGGCCTCCATTGTCTGCACTGCTCTGAGCATTTTTTAAAACTGAAAATTGATTCTTCTCTCATACAATATATCCTAACCACAGTTTTCCCTCCTTCCACTGTTCCCAGATCCTCCCCTACCTCCCTTTTCCCCCAGATCTATGCCCTGTCCATTTCCTCTTCAGAAAATAGCAGGTTTCTAAAAGACAGCAGTCAAATATTACAAAACAATATACAACAAGACAAGTCAAAAGCCCTCCTGTTGAGGCTGGACAAGGCAACTGAATAGGAGGAGGAGTCCCAAGAGTACACCAAGGAGTCAGAGACACACCTGCTTTCACTGTTAGGAGTACCACAAAAACACCAAGTTAATAGCCATAACATGGATGCAGAGGACCTGGTGCAGACCCATGTAGGCCCTGTGCTTGCTGCTTCAGTCTCTGTGAGCTCATATGAGCCCTGCTTAGTTGATTTAGTGGGCCATGTTCTCGTGGTGTCCTCCATCCCTTTTAACTCCTACAATCTTTCCTACCCCTTTTCTGTAGGATTCCCTGGTCTCTGAGGGGAGGGACTCAAAGGAGACTTCCAATTTAGATTCTTTATCTGCATAGTGTCTGGCTGTGGGTCTCTGTACCCACTCCCATCTTCTGTCAGAGACACCTGCACCCTCTGATGACACCTGCACAAGGCACCAATCTATGAGTATAGCATAATATCATTAGGATTTATTTATTTATTTGTTTGTTTGTTTATTTGTTTGTTTGTTTAGCCAATCATATTTGGGTCTATCCAAGATCTCTGGACTACCCAGTCTCTCATTCCTGGCCATCCTGGAAGTGCAGGGCATGGGCCCTCTCTTGTGGAGTTGGCCTCTGCTTAGACCAGACACTGGTTGGTCACTCCCAAAATTCTTCACCACCATTGCCTCAGAACATTTTGTAGGCAAGGCAGATTGTAGGTCAAAGGTTTTGTAGCTGGGTTGGTGTCCAGACTTCTCTTTTGGTAGCCTGGACAGTAATTTCCCACATGCCAAAGAAACTAGAACATATGTGTGGAGGCTCCATACAGGCACTAGCATGACCTTTCTATATTAAACGAGTTGTATGGATGTTGTCCTTGGCAATGTGGTCCTGCTGTCAGATTTTGGAGAGCAACGTTCTGTCCTAGCGTCAGCCCAGGTTATTTAGAGATCTCCACTGGACCTCCTCAGCCAACAACTCAACTGAATGCAACCCAGTCCCCCGAGTCGAAGCCTTGCCTGGCTATAGAAGATGGCCAGCTTAGACTTTGTATCCTCCATTACTAGGAATCCTCACTAGGGTCACCTTAATAGATTTCAGGAAGTTTCCACTGTACTACACTTCCACACCACCTCCCAAATACCCCCCAATTCCATCTGTCTCTTCCTCTCCCTCCACCCCCTACCTGATCTCTTCTGCTCCTGTCCCCACCTGTCCACAGTCCAAGTTCATACAGAACAGCCCACTGAGCTCTCAATCTAGCCCAAAGTCCCAAAGTCCTTCCACAGTCCTCCCCCAAATAATATGATCAGGTCTATCACAGAAATTCTTCCTGATCCTGGTACCAATTCTGAACTAACTTTGGGTTACTATTGCTGTGAATAAACACCATAAGCAAAGCAACTTGGGGAGGAAAGGGCTTAGTTGATTTATGCTTTCACAGCAGTGTTCATCCCTAAATGAAGTCAGGCCAGGAACTAAAACATGGCAGGAGCCTGGAGGCAGGAACTAATGCAGAGGCCATGGAGGAGTGCTGCTTACTGGCTTGTTCCTTGTGGCTTGCTCAGCCTGCTTTCTTATAGACCCCTGGACCACCATCTCAGGGGTGGCACCACCCACAACATACTGGGCTCTATCACATCAATCACTACTTAAGAAAATGTCCTACAACCCAGGCTTATGGAATTTTTTGTTTACTCAGTTGAGGCTCCCTCTTCTCCAGTGACTCCAGCTTGGGTTAAGTTGACATAAAACTATCCAGGATAATGCATGTCTCACAAGATATTCCTATCACTAAATGCTGTGTCATCTTATACTTACCACATTGACCTGCAAGTTACACTACAGCCACCCTGACTAAAGACACAAATGCAGGCCTCACATTGTTATTTCAGAGAGAAAGCTAAGAGTAGCAGGATAAAGAAAAGAGAAACCCAAACATGAAATGTGTTTTCTTTCTCAGTAAAAGCCTGTGTTTGTGTTTCAGGGCAGTATGTGCCCTTCACTCTTTCTGTTGATCATTCCCACTACTTTAGGCTTTGAGCTAATTCTTATAAAACATAGAGGAGTATTATCCATGAAGCATGCAGCAATCATTTCTCATTTGATGGCTGCGTCAAGCACCAAATTGTCCTCATTTACCATATATAGTAATTGTCAATTAAGTGTAAACAACAATAATAAATATTAATAGTACTTTTGAAAATCTAAGTCCCAACATCATGAACACTACTTCTTAAATGCTCTAAATAACACAAAATACCTCTGGTGAATTATCAAAGAAATTAAAGAAGCTTTCAGTATGATATTTCAAAGTAGTCCTTGGATTCTTTTAGACAGAGGCAAGCCAATATTTGCTGTTCCACTCAGTTTGCATAAATACATTACGAGCTTTGTAACAAATTTTTTATTGAAGAAAAAATAGGCCACTTTTCAGCACTTTTTATTTTTCATTACTTGACCATTAATATTACGTGACACAATCCAGATGAATACATAGCTCGAGGATGTAGACCTTCTGAAAGTACAGTCCCCTATGGAAACAAGCATCGTGTGCATTACTCTGCCAGCCCTCCCTACTCTGTAGTGTCAATTATTCTTTCCACCTCTGCCACAGTTAGTGCTAATTACATTACCTGAGCTATAAAAATAAAAGATTCCCTTGTAGCAAATTCACAAATTTAATTTCAGCCAAGCTATACACCTTGTCCATCTAAAACAGCAAACATCTGCTCCACAAAACAAAACAAAACAAAACAAAAAACAAATTGTATTGAGCTTGTACTTCAGTGTATTTTATGAAACACAATTATGGTAAAGCAGCAATGCTGTGCCACTTAGCTGCTCAAAGACAGAAACAAAGTCAGCCACTAGTATTTTCAGCATTCAAATATTTGAATTGTGAAGAAATCTCTATCCAGATGAATGACTGACACCATCGTCTTCTGGGCACGTCCTATTGAATAGACACAGTCAGTGCTCATTCGGGGCTCACAGGTCTTAGGCACTAGTTTAATTGACATAGTTTATGTACATACAAAGAAAGACAAAAGTTCAAAAAGTTTGCTAATTTACAAATGAATACATTATATTTGATTCACATTTTAAATTGAATTATTATATTATAATATAAAATAGAGAAAAAGTGTTCTTAGTTGTGGAAGGGCATATTAAATACGTTATTCCATTAGAAAGTACAGGGGGGTGTCCTCAACAGTAATTAATGCACAGCTGTAAAATATAAGTTGTATTTCTTCACTTAACCTTGCAAGTATATAACCTAATCACACCATGTATTGTCAATATATTGGATAATATTCTTTCCATATGAGAATGGCCTGTGTTTAAATATTAATATTCAAAATAATATCTAGTGTAAAGCTGATAGTTAAGAAGAATAGGATATGGGCATCACTTCTATGGAATAGCCACATGGGTATGGAAACTAGTTTAAACATCTCTGGTCCAATCTCAAAGCAAGGAAAGGGCTAAGAGAGATAAAACACATTAATTAAAGAACAATCACAAATCATATTAAAAACAACCGTATCAAAGTACTAGAAGAACTTTCATAATGTTCTTTAAAAATTGTTAGGAAACAACCTCCTGTTCTGAAGGTGTTTCTGTCAAATATAGGAGTGAATATTATGACAGATAACCAATATTATGACAGATAACCTAGAGAAGACCTGTGGATACACATGACTATACACATTTTAGGAGAAAATTTTTACCATTTGATTCAAACCCATTTTATCATTCCAAGAGTTAAGAAAAGCAGACTGATTAGGCTATCACATTCTAGAACCGGAAGTCAAAGTAAAGGAAGTACACAACAGGAAAACAAGTTTGCTCTAACATGGAACTCTATCCAGTCATTCCTCCAAGGTGTCACAGATCTCACAACCTGAATCCTAGAAAGAACATGCAACTAACATTCTGTAGGATCCACTGGGTTGAGGCAGGAAATTAATTCCCTAGACAGGAGTGCAAAAGCAACCCTAAATTAAAACTGAATTAATTTTTTTCATTACTGTAGTGGTAGCGAGTGACTGAAACTCTCAGCCCTTGGGAGGTGGAGGCAGGAGGATAAAGAGCTCAAGGTCATTCTCTATTTTGTAGTAATTTTGAGCCTAACTTGACACAGATGAGATTTTGCTTCAAAAAGAAAAAGAAAGAAAAAACTATAAGCCTGTTATTCTATCAAGAAGTTCTAATATTTTATGAAACTGGGGGTGGAGTGAGATAGGACTGGAGATGTGGAGAGTATAAATTTGGTATTCTGGTCTTATATTTTATCTTGGTCAGTTCATCTAAAAATCTATGAAACATATAGAATCACATATTTTTATTTTTAAAAGAGTGAAAGACTGACAAAATCCCCAAACATTTATCTGCATGTAGAATTAATAAATGGTGATGTTCCTTTCTCTACTAATGTTTTCACTAAATTCTAGAGCTCCATAAATTTCTTTGAACATATCACATTAAAGCCATTGGATCTTAGACATTAAGTACCACTGATTGCTTTTAATGTATTTTGATTTTGGGCTATGTTGTTTGAAGATGTTAATTGGGGCTTAACAGATTAATTCTATACAGCCAGTGGTTTATTCTTTTTTCTGAACTTTCAAAATGTGTTTATCCAACAGAAGTGAATGTACTCAGTCAGTGTGGACTCCCTGACTTCATCTGTTGGTTCATTTTTATCTGCCAAGTGGGATCTTGAGTAGATCATTATTTATATATCCATTTTTCTTGATTATGAGTTATGCTTTAATTATGATGAGCCTGGTTCTTCTGATCAGTGATATTCTCGTAGAATCCTATATGAAAGCTAAATCATCATTGCTTTTAAAAAATGATTCCATTCTGTTTTTCATTTATCAAACCTCAGTTCTACAATATCTTTGGACACCTTGCATGT